AAACAATTTGCCTTGGGTGATGAGCCAAGTGTGGCTACTGTATGTCCCTGCAGGGTAGAAATAAAGAGCTGCACGCCCAACATTTTCCTCACAAGCTTTTGGGCGCTGTTTCAACTAGAGCTTTGCTCGAGGTGCACAAAACCTAAGCGCGCTCTCCACCACTTGGCCTTGCGCCACCTTCAGGAAATCCATGCCCTCTGCAATGATGTAGGCAGCAAAGAGCTCCTTGAGGAAATGGTCTGACCGCATCACCCTGACCAAATCAAGGAGTTGCAGCAGTGATCGCAATACCAATGACCTTTCAGCTAGATTTCTAGACTCTTAAGCAAATGCAATGGGGTGCCCATAGTTCCCACAGACTTCAAATTAAGTGCAAGCTGCTCTGCAAAAGTGCGGGCATCATGCTGGATCTTCTCCAAGAAGCCACTGTTTGGGAGCACGCTGGTGTCATAGACCAATCTCTCATTCTCTAGGCCATTTCCAAGCCAGATCCTCCGTTGGCCTCTTTCTTCCAGGATTCCAGGGTGATCAGCATCCTGACCTGCGCAAAGGCTGCCGCCCGTGGTTCCATGGCACACCTATGACAACCTAAGCTGTGGGCAAGTTGCCTGGTGCACAGCAATGGGACTTTCAATTCTGACAAGAGAGCATGCGCGTTCAAAGTTGAGTGTGTAAACAACATGAACAGTGTGATCAACGGCCACTCTGATGAATAGCCAACTGGGTGCAATCATTACAGCAGAAACTAGATCCCTGCTTCGCAGCTCCTGCTGGCTGCCTTGAACCCCTTGCACAGGTTGTCCCACGCATGAAAGGCTGGTATCCCCTTTGCTGCTTTTGCATGTGCTTTACCCAGCACCGCCTCCCATTCAGCCTCACTCCTTGAAAGCCTGCAAACGCACATGCGGAGCAACCATGACGGCCGCCTCTGCACCGAAGGCATCCCCAACAAGTCAGCCTGCCCTTGCTCTGCGTTGTCTTGTTCATTGTTCTTGCTCCCCTGCTTGTCTTTGAGTTGGGTAGCAGCCTGTGGCTTGGCTTTAGCCCTAGGCACGCCAGCACCTGCTTTGTGCTGAGCAGGAGCAGCAGCAGGTCTCTTTAAGACCTTCGTGCCTTGGAGTTGCTTGAAAGCAGCTTCTTCAAAGTCCTCCAAGGAACCATTGGCCTCATTTGCAATCATCTGCATCATGTTCAGGTTCAGCTTGTTTGGTCACCTGAGGAGAAGTGACAGGTAAAGGTACTACCTGGTCACTGGGTGGTGAACCCAAGCTTGCACAAGAACTCTGGCTCCCTGATCGGTTTATTGTTGACATACTCAACCGACCACGTTGTGGTAGAGAAGGCCTTGCACTCTTGCAGGTTCTCTCACGCAAAGAGTCTTCAGCATAATCCAATTGTTTTGCCTTCATCGCCAATGAGAGCAACTTATCAATATC